CGGCCCAGCCCCGACCTGCCGGCCCGGGCCCAGCCCTCGCCCCTTGGGCCCGGGGCCGGTGGGGCGCGGGGGTCCCCTGCCGCGGGGTACTCCTCGCCTCCAAGTTTCCCCTCCCCCTCCTCCCTCCCAGCCCTGCCCTAATCCCTGTCCCCTCGACGCGCTGTGTATAGCAGCTGTCGAGTCTCATTTAGGGGAGTAGCTGGCAGCCCGGGCTGATTGGAGGCAGTCAAACGGGTCTCAATGGGGGAAATCATTAAGTTAACACTTTATCTAATGTCCCCATTGTCTGGCCGGAGGCGCTGTTTCACAGCCGCGGGCAGACATGTCTCAAAGCAGCCCGGCCTCCGAAACTCTCCAGGGGCCGCGGAGGAGGCTCCAGCCCAGCCCCCCGCCCGACGGGCTCCTTGCGAACAAAGGTCGTGGCTGCCAACCAGCTCGAGCCTGGGCCCAGGGGCTTAGCTGGACTCACTGCGGGAGGGGAGAAGGGGGGCCTGGCTGGCAAAGCAGACATGGGGTCGGAGTGAGCTGCGGGGTGCGCACCTCGGGGCTCCCTCCGCCCAGGGAATGCTGCAGAGTGGTGCCAGGGGAGCCCTGTGCAGACAGTCCCCTTCGCTGGGACAGGGGCACCCCTGTTGTAACCCCAGCCCCTGCCCCTGCCCCTGGCCCAGCTCCTGCCGCAGCAGTGAGGGGCCGCAAGCCCGGCTCGGGGTCCCTGGTGAGCCCTGCTCAGCACCACTCCCTGTGCCCACCCGCCCACAGGTCGCATCCTCGACATCCCCTGCAAGGTGTGCGGGGACCGCAGCTCTGGGAAGCACTACGGCGTCTATGCCTGCGATGGCTGCTCAGGCTTCTTCAAGCGGAGCATCCGCAGGAACAGGACCTACGTCTGCAAGTCGGGAAACCAGGTACCGGTACCCGCCAGGCTGTAGGGACCAGGACCGGCACCTCCCCTGCCTGGGCATCCCCCCCCACCTGGGCCCAGGGGCCAGCAGGGCAGGGGCTGCACCTTGCTGGGCCTCCATGGGATCCCCCCACCCTGGGAACACTGGCAGCTCCTGGCACTGCTCCCCAGACCCGAGGTCAAACGTCAGTCTCCAGGACATGGATGGCCTGGGTGCAGCCAGGTGGTTGGAGGGGCCCAGGACAGGATGAGGGGCAGGCTGGGACAAGGCTGCCCACCCAACCCCCAGCTCCCTGCTTCCTGCTCTCCCCCCCTCCCCCCACCCCAGCCAGCTACATGTCCCCCTTCCAGCCCTGTGTCCCTCTGTGTCTGCAGGACAGGCTGGCAGAGGAGGGGACCAGCCTTGGGCATGGGGCACAGGCAGAGCAGGGCTGAAAGAATGAGGTGAGGGCAGGGCTGGGTGCCCTCTGGCTGGTAGCTGTCTCCTGCTCAACACCACTTCCCCAGGGCTTGCCTGCCCGGACCATGTGTGGATCCCACTCCAGATTTCCCTGGTCTGGCTAAGCCCAGATCTGGAGCCAGGTGCCCAGGGGGCCTGGGGCACTTCCAAAGGATAACAACATAGGAATTGCCAATGTCAAACCATAGGTCCTTCTTGCTCCATCTCCTGTCACACAGTGACAAAGTGGAGGCTAAAAGGGGGAGTGAACTGAATCTGACCAGGGTTTCCTTCCTCCTCACTGTTCCTCTCTGCCTTGCAGCCTCCAGCAGTTTAAGGTCTAGTTCTGATTCAGAGGCTGTGTCCCTAATAGCTCCTGATGCCCCTTTCCTCCAAGAATGTGTCCAAGCTCTTTTTCAAATGTGGCTAACCTATCAGCTACCCCACTTCCGGGTGGCCAGGAGTTCTGTCCTCACCGCAGCGCCATGCTGGGTGAAAAGGAACCTCCTTGGGTTACGTTTAAGCTGCCTGCCTACTCCTTTCATTTCATGACTCCTAGCTCTTGAACTGTGAGAGAGCACATAAAAAATCTCTGTGTCCTTTCTCTGCACTGTTCAGTATATTGTGGACCCTTGTCATGTCCCCCCATCAAGCATCTATCTCTCTTCCAAACTGAACAGGCCTAGCCTCTGTAGTGTATCCTCTCCTCCTAGGGAACCACTCCAGATCACTGATCATCTTTGTTGCCCTCCTCTGGACCCAGGCCAGGGTGTAGTCTGGGTGGTGGGGCAGGCACTGGGTTGTCCCAGTCCCCACTTCTCATGGCAGGGCTGTGCTGTGCTTGTTGCAGGGGGGCTGCCCAGTGGACAAGACGCACCGGAACCAGTGCCGGGCCTGCCGGCTGAAGAAGTGCCTGGAAGTCAACATGAACAAAGATGGTAGTTGAATCCTTTGGCCTGCCTGGGCAAATGAAGCCTAGATCTGGGCACACACTCCCCCAGGCTCTGGGAGATGAGAGGGTCAAGGGCAACGGCAGGGGCTGCAGGATGTGTGAGGCAGGCACAGGCTCGTATAATGCCAGTCCCATCCCAGCCCAGGTCCCATGTGTCCTGGAAGCCTTTTAGATCTACCACTTAGAGGAATCTTATGGCTACTCCCTGGGCCCAGGCGGGTCACAGCCTTGAGTGATCGCTGCCCCCCTGCTCAGGCTTGACTCCTGTCCAAACAGAAGGTTTTGCTGGATCTGAGACACTGCCTGGCAAGGGCATAGCCAGGACCTTGCCAAGTATGAACACCTGGGCTTTGGCAGATCTGCCCTGAGGGCTGCTGTGACACACCCACCACCCACCCACCTGTGAGCAGGGTAGGGGAAAGTGATGATAACTCTAAATCTCCTGCTGGCACTGATGTAACTAGTAACAGAGCAGGGCTGGAGAGATGGCTACGCATGTCCAGGCACACCAGATCATGCTATGACTGGGTCTGGGTAAAACAATCTGCCCTGGAAGATGTATGCTGTGCATGCTAGAAGGCATTGGCTATGCAGGATCCACTACTTCAGCACAGCTCACTAGGTGACTGTGCCTTAGGAGCCCCGCTGAAGCCAACAGGAGCCTTTCTGAGTCACTTGATTTTCTAACTCAGCCTTTTTTTCTCCCCTCCCCTTCCCCCCCACCCCAGCTGTTCAGCATGAAAGGGGCCCACGGACATCCACAATAAGGAAGCAAGTAGCTCTGTATTTCAGAGGACACAAGGAAGAGAATGGAGCTACCCCACACTTTCCCTCTGCTGCTTTACCTGCCCCTGCCTTCTTCACTGCTGTCACCCAGCTGGAACCCCACAATCTAGAGCTGGCTGCTGTGTCCACTACTCCAGAAAGGCAGACCTTAGTGGGACTTGCACAGCCAACTCCAAAGGTCAGCTCTCTCCCGCTGATGTATCTCGCGCTTTGCAGGCTAGATGAACACTTGGATGAGATGGGTTAACCAGGAATGGTCCTGCCTTGAGCAGCAGGTTGGACTAGATAACCTCTTGAAGTCCCTTCCTTCCCTATCTTTCTGTGTTTCTACTCAGCAGAGGACTGACAAGAAGATGTTACATTTAAGGCAAAATACTGAGAAACAAAATTGAGGTGGGGAGAACCTCAGCTTAGAGCTGGGTTCATTAAGAGGGATGAAAATTTCCCTTGGTTTTCCCAAGAATTGTGTTTGAATCAGAACTGCCAGATGGGACCTTCAATATTCATAAGATCATTTTGACATGGCGGGTAAAATATGAGTTTCTTGCTCTATGCAGTTAAACGCACTCACGTGCACTTTAAACAGTCTTACATATGCATATGTGTTACATAGAAACGCACACATGTGCAGTGGAACAATGCATAAGTACTGCCACCTACAGACTACACATCAGCCAACTTGTTTCTACCTTACTAGATGCTGAACTAGGAGAACTGTTGACTTTCTGTTCAATAAATGTCCACCTCTATAATGATTAGTCCCTAATCCATTGTCAGGTTCCGAACAAATCACTGCAGTCTGTCCAGATGGCTGTGTTCACAAATGTGATCAATCTTCCTGTTTATTTCTTGGCTTTGAAATGATATAGACAGTTTCAGTAACCTGAAAAATGAGGAGCTATCTGAGAGTTATTCATAAGAACCAAAATATATCCATATTACTTTATCAAAATATATATAGGCACATTTGCACAGATAACCATCTAAATTGTTGTAAATCAAACTGGTTTATAAAGCCTGAATCAGTTGTTGAATTGGGGGCTCTTAACATATATAGTATTTCCCTGCTCTTATAGCAGAATTTGAATACTTCTGCAGGTAGGGGATCAAGCTATATATCAGCAGACTTTTTTTACTGTTACAGGTATAGTCTGTCTTTACTTTTCATGTAGTGCAATCCTACATCATTTATTCACATGGACAGCAATCATGTAACATGCTTTAGAGAGGGGGCACTGAAACCAATGGAAGATTTTTTTTGTTGGCTGAAGGATAGGATTGCTGGAATTATATACTGTACAGGAGAATAATTGCTGAAGTGCAGGTGGGTATATGTGTGAACAATGTGATGTTTTTCCTTCATCTTATATGATATTGACTTATTTTATTTCTTCTAACAGTATCCACATGAAGTCAATGGTACACCTATGTATCTCTATGAAGTGGCTACTGAATCTGTTTGTGAATCCGCAGCCAGACTTCTCTTTATGAGCATCAAATGGGCCAAAAGTGTTCCAGCCTTTTCCACTTTGTCATTACAAGATCAGGTAAGGATTACACAATAAGTAATTATGCTTAGCTTAGTAACAGTATTTAAGAGGGGTTCAATCTTTAAAATTCAGATATGCATCTGGATTTTTACCATTCCAGAGCTCTAAATGCTTTTGTTCTGGCTAGTAACAAAGATATATTATTTTAACAGCAATTTTCATGTGACTGAAATAGTTATTTTATAGAGCAGATGAAACTCAAAAAGGGAACAAATGATGATATAAGATAATTTTTCTTAAGAGGCAGTACACTCCAGAGGGCAGGGCAAAAGGCAGGAAAACAAGAGATCTAAGGTGAAATCCCAGCCCCATTGAAGTCAATGGTTAACAATCTGACTTCATGGATCCATGATTTTACTTCTGGGCTCTTCCACAGCTTTACTATTATGTAAGCTTTGGTGAATCACTTAGCTTCTCTGTGTCTCAGCCTCCCCTTCTGTAAAATGGGGGTAATGATATTTTTTCTCTATTTTAAAATCCATTGGTGCTTATGGATGAAAAGTACTTTATGAGTTAGATATTACACTTCTTAATTCTAGTAGTATACATTTGCCAGTTGATTTTGTAATAATTCTATGTCAATGGAGTTACTTCACTTTCATGCCAGTGTGATGATGAGAGCAGAATTTTGCTTGCCTTTTTTTGTTAATTAAAATCTTCCTTAATTTGTCTTGTTTTCCTCTGTGACAACTTGCCTTTGCCTCAAGTAAATTGTGTGCAAACCAAGTCATTTCTTAATGACTTGATTTTTGATGAGGACATGATGCATTGTGTATACTGTATTAATTCTGAAAAGTAATCAGGCAATAATAAAAGAAAAAATCAATACAAAACCCCAATCACAAAATATTCTTAATATTTTGATGTTATTGAGTTTAATTATGTAATATGATTACTAGAAAGAAAAACACTGTATTTTAAATAGCACATATAACTATATTAATTGACTCTTCTAAAAGTCACCAAATAGAATACACTAATGTATCATAGACCAAACATTGTAAGCCTTATTGGACAAAAACAAGTGCACATTTGGAGCTAAAAAAGATCTTTTTTAGAAGGGCAATGGTGTCGTCTTCCTAAAACAGAAAGGCATTTATTTAGATAAATTGAAATATCCCTTTGCCAGGGCTAGTCCCAGATTTTGAGGGTACTTTTGTAGAATTAAATAGGCAGGGCCTCATTCATTTTCCCTCTAAGTATTGTCACTGGTGAATCAGATTTGTACATTCAGGGCCACTGACTGAGATGCTGCAGTGAGGGCATAAGCCAAAGAATTAACAGTGAAAAGGAAACTGTATTTATGAAGACAATGGCCCAGATTCTTCCACTGCTGAATGCAAGCCACCACCATTGGCTTAATTACAGTTGTTCCTGTGTGGCTGGATCTGACTATCACAGAGTTCAAAGGAAGTACAATTAGGCCCGGACCACATGCATAATAGGCTTTGCTCTGAATATCACAGTCACTTCAATAAGAAAGCTCTCCCATAATGCAAACTGTGGCCCAGTTCAGCCCTGGATCATTACTATCAATGGCAGTCCACCTGGGCCAGGACTTAATTTGGCTTGATTTATAAAAATTCCCCCGGAGGCCATGCCTGCTAGAGGAGTGAGGTGGGGTAGTGGAAGAATTTCTGAGAATACAGACCATTCTATACCACTCAACATTCCTCAGAAAGATAGGACAATTACCTGTCACAGACATCAGAATATCCTGTCATCTTAAGAGAATCAGCTACATATTTTATTTTACATATACTGAATATAAAGAAGTTGTAATAGCCATTGAGTCTCTTTTAAAGTGGAAGCCTTTCATCTTTCCCATTATTCTGTACATTTTCTAGAAATGGATGAGTTGAAAAAGTTTCAAGGATCTTTTTAGATATGCCCATCACTAACAGGAGGTCATCCTTTCAGACCAGCTGCAGGACACACAACTCTGGAGATGCATACACTCCAGAATCCATAATCTGAGTATAGTACTCTGGCTCAAATAATCAAGACTTTTCAAACTTAAGAGGTTTTCAGTTCTTGGATTTTGTTTGAATTTCTTTCTACCTTGGTTCCTCTATCATACTCAGGAGAATTTCAAAGATCTTATTTTTAAAGCCTTTTTTCCCCATAATTAATCAGAGAGTTGATTCTTGTAATTGAACAACTATTCAATTTAATTTGACAATGGTATGGATATTGATGTCTGAATTTCCTTTGTATATCTCTGATGTCTGCCTGAACAGAGTCCGAAATCATTTCCTAGGATCTGTTTTTGTTTAGAAATCCTCTAGAAAAATTAAAATATTGTGAATCTATAACTGTATGTCACCGTTCTATCTTGAAAAGTGTGAAAACCAGCCTGTTGACAATATACCCATTACTAACAAAAGGTCATCCTTTCAGACCACCTGTAGGACACACAACTCTGGAGATGCATACGCTCCAGAGTCCATGATCGGAGTATAGTACTCTGGCTCAAATAATAATTTGTCATTAAATGATTTTTCTCAGGAGCTGCATATAAGCTTCCTGGAAGCTGCATGCAGCTCAGAAGCCAGTTTGGTCACAGCTGTTGAAGATCATTGCCTATTCTGGAGCAAAGTAGAAATAAGTGTCCAATCTCAAAAAACCCAGAGATTTTTTAATTACTTTGAGAAACAAGGGTCATTTATAAATTAAGCATGAATTAATCAAACTGGTGCTTTTAAAGCTTTATGAATAGGAATTTGAAGAAACTCAGCTTTCAGAGAATAAAGCCCTTTAACTTTCTGAAGTCTTCAGGCTTCAGGTGGGAAAGAAAATACGAAATTTATATCTTCCAGGAAACACAGTTCATTCTCGTATCTGCATGACTGAGTGACAAAAAGATTTTTTAAAGGAAATAAGTGGCTCTGAATTGATTTCTTCATACAACACACAAACCTGCATATCTAAAAGAGATATCAGTTCTTTATAAAGCAGAGATTATCTGGAGGAGGATATAGCTTATAGTCTCCAGTGTTCAGAAATAATTAGGAGTTTGTTCTGTTCTACTCAGAGCAGACCTGAGATGGATACCACACTTCACATTTTTTCAACTGTAGCATAATATGCTGTGCAGTCTTTGTTACTGTAAAAGCCAATGCAATTATTTAAACATTGATTATGTATAAATAGAGTTATGATTACTTACTTTTCAGTCACTATCTCAATGTTGTATTACATCTCTGCAATGCATTTTAGATAGTATGAAATGACTGTGATGATAAGTATTTTGACTTACGAAGCTCTATCCCTCAATCTAATGAAATCTATGCAGTTTGAAATACTAAGTATTAAACATTAGACATATGATAAGGAATTTACATTTTTTGCATGATATTGATACTGCTGATATACGCTGCTTACACATTTGAGTCTAAGAAAATGAAAGTTCAATTACAATTTTGTCTACCTTTTTTCCATGTTAAAGAAACATTGCCAGAATTGGTAGGCCTGATAAGTGACTTTCCCTTTCCCCTAATAAACTATATAGTTGAAACATCTGAGTTTATAAGCAAAATCTTTGGCTAACATGCAAAATTTATTAGGCTGAGGTTAATCAGATAGTTAGGAATCCCTCCACCTCTTCCTCCAGTTTCAAAGCACCAGTGTGGCCACTTTTGCAACCCCTTACAGAAGTCTTAGCATGGCAGTAGCATCATCAAGTCCTGAGCTTTGCTTCCCTTTCCTAAAAGAACAAAGCAGCTTCATTATGGGGAAGTCACCATGTGCTCTCTGTGGCATGTCCCCCAGCCCAGATCATGGAACTAATGAAGTTTTGGCAAAGGAAGTCGGCTAGGCCAAAAGTCCATACATGCAAAATTACACTGTGCTGTTTTTACCAGTCTAAGCCATAACAAAGCTGAATTCTCCTCTCCTGTACACTGATGCATCTCCAGTGAAATCAACTGCATTGTCTCTGCAAAAGAAGAGGCAAGCATAGCACAGTGGTTGCCATTCAGCCTCCCTGTGAAAAAAAATCTACATCACCAAATGAGTGAGCAAACCATGCCAGAAACTGCACTGATCAGATCTAAATCTTGGTACTCCAGACTTCTTGGTTGCTTGGGTTTGGAATTGTTTGGTCCATTATGCAGAGAGAGGGACAAGCCAAAATGCTTGGATCTGGATTCAAACAGGTGAGGGAAGTTTGTAGCTAAGGGTCTCACTCTGAAGGGAAAAAAAATCAGCAACCAGTTTGCAAGGATTATCTTAAGCAAAGTAGGAAAACAAGTAAAATTGAAAATATGCAAGTATCTACGTGTACCATCTAAGAATGACAGATTCATTCAGCCAAGAATGGGTTAAAGGTAAAAATGCTATTTCTGGTGATCATAAAGTAGTGCTTTGAAGGGACTCTCTAGCAAATGAGGTCACCATTGATTTGATAAATCATATATTTGTAACGTAAAACATTCTAATGTAGAAGCAACATCACCAAAAGAACTGTTCAGGTTCTATTCCCCCCTCTATGTGTATACCTGTTAACACTGAGGATTTTAGTGGCAACCATTAATCCTTCCAGATCATGGTGCATGCGTGAGAGGTCACCCAGACCTTCAACACATATGACTAGGGAGGAGTGGAGGCTACCCAGATCTTCCATCTCCCCTTTATGCCACTGAGACCAAATCCAAAGGCCAGACTGAGTCCAGATGTTTGGTGCCTCCATGGCTGTGATTGTATAAGCATCCAGGAATCAAACCCAGGTCTCCTGTATGGCAGACAAGTATTCTACCACTGAACCCCCAGGGGACTCCAACACTGAGGTGCACACGGAGAGAAGAGGCCTTTCACTGTAGAAGCCTACTCAAGAAAAATATGCATAGATGTTTATATAGACTGCAAGGCCTTTGTGGTGGGATCTGTCTCTGTTTCTGTTTGTACAGCACCTAACACCATGGAGATTCTCTCCACCCACAGCCTAAAACAAGTCATTAGTCTCAGTAATAGATCTACAATACATATAGTTAGGCATAGATACCTTATAAAAAAGATGAAAGAAAAGCTAAAGTACTCAGAGGGAAAAATACCATGACAGGCATTTAAAGTAGTTTTTAAAATAACAGAAATTTACATAGTGAAATTGTTTATAAATCTATAAATTATACACCATGTTATATTGTACATCTATTGTATAACAGCTGATGCTTTTGGAAGATGCTTGGAGAGAACTGTTTGTTCTAGGAATAGCACAATGGGCCATTCCAGTTGATGCTAACACTCTACTGGCTGTATCTGGTAAGAATTGCACAATTTAATGACTTTGTTATAGAAATTACCATAAAAATACATTACTGAAAAAAGAACAACATGTAAAGAATAACAAATTTGTACTGAACAATAGAGCATACCTGTCATTTATAAATCTATATTTAAATGCAAATAATGTTGTTTTGTTGTATTCATGACTGCTTGCATTGTCATTTAAATGCAAATTACTGTGTTTGTTATCATCCAAGAGAAGATTTTATATTAACTTTCATACAATATAGTCAGTTTACATGGCATCAGATATCTAAGAGTGACAATTGAATAGATATTGATATAGAGGATTTTGTCAGAAATCAATATAAAATACTGCAAATGCCTTAATATTAGAGTATTTATTTCACATGTTTTTATTGTAGGCATGAATGGTGACAATACAGATTCTCAGAAGCTGAATAAAATTATTTCAGAAATACAGGCTTTACAGGAGGTTGTGGCTAGATTTAGACAACTTCGGCTAGATGCTACCGAATTTGCCTGTCTCAAATGCATTGTCACTTTTAAAGCTGGTAAGCAGAAATATCCCCTTGCTTTTTCACTCTGATTACTATCAGTTAGCTACTTAAAACAACATTTTGTAGCAGAGATCCAATTACATCGGCTTACAGTTTTCTGCTGCTCAGTACTGATAGGCAGTGTTTCATGTAAGTGTTAAAAACATTGTACAAATCACAGTGCATTCTTAGATAAATTTAATTAACACTAATGTAAATGTTTTTGACCAACTGAAGAGTCAAACTGACTGGTTACGGATCTGCTTTCCAGTACCTACACACAGTGGTTCTGAACTCAGAAGTTTTCGAAATGCTGCCGCCATTGCAGCCCTTCAAGATGAAGCTCAGCTCACTCTGAACAGTTACATCCATACCAGGTGACTGCTGTTTTTTTCAATATGCTTTTAAAATGCTGTAGGTACCCTCCATGAAGGCAGTGGCACATTTCCATTGATTTAATGGGGCCAAAGTTTCACACACCAGGTCAATGATGAATGTATGTCTGTGGCAGAACCTAGATTCTGCAAATGGAATAAGGGATATGGAATTTATTCAGATAAATGGGAAAATGGAGTTTTTTTCATCTGGGATTTTTCACAGCATTAAATAACAAAAACAATAAAAGCAATAACACATATAATAATAGCAGCACTTTTCTTCCAAGAATTAAAATCTTTTTACTGTATTGCTATACCCATTTTGAGGTGGGGAAACTGAAGCACAGAGAAGTGAAATCACTCATCCAAGACCCTAGAATGAACCCATTCCAGAGATGGGAACAGAAAAACTGAGATCTTGTGACTCTTAGTTCAGGCCATAGCAACTAAAATTATGAGAGTTAAAACATTAAAGAAGATTTTCACTTCAGTCTAGTCCTGTGTAACATAATCAAGATGCAGAAAACAACCATAAGAAGGTGCAACTGTCACCTTTTAAAATTAACAAGAATAAAACTGGGAAGGCACTATGCAATCTACAAACCACTCTACTATTCTTCTTACTATATAAGCTGTCTTTTCAATATTACCACTGCTTAGAATAACTTCCCAACTTGAGCCACAAGTCTAGGAGTGTGGCCCAAGCAGTTCATTTGGCAACTGGGACACTGTGGGGAGAGATGCATAGGGGAGAAAAGTGCAATGGGAGAAAGGGTGAATCTTCTAGCTCATTCTTTGCAATTCTTCCATCCATTTGAGGGGCTGCAGTGGTAAGTTCTGAATGGTCTTACCCCTACTTAAGTTAGCCTTGAAATTCAGAGAGGCAATTTAGAGATGGAGGGAGTAGGTAGAAAGGAAAGGAAGGGGTGTAACTTCTATGTGGTACATTGCAGCTTTCCCATTCCCTTTGCAGTTCACTACCCTTGTCCCCTTCTAAATTTTTGTAATGCCTAGTGCAGTGCTTCCCAACCTCGGGTCGCGACCCAAATGAGGGTTGCGGAGGCAATGTCAGTGGCACCGCACACCAAAGACAAGCTGCACCACATGCTTCCCAGCCCGTGCTCCCAGGCTGCTACTGCAGTCCACTCCCAGCACCAGGTTGCAGCAAAAAAAGGTTAGGAACCACTAGTCTAATCAAATCAAACTGCTTCTTCCAGGCCTGGATCCACAGAGGGTGCAGTAGTGTGGCTGCACCCTCCCCTTTTGGATTGGACCGCACCATAGGAGCCTCTGGGGACTTTTTTAAGGTCCTAAAGGAGGTGCAAATCCCTCCTCCCCGCCTCTTCTCTATCTCTCTCACCTGCTGCTGTTTCTTTCTTTGCTGTTCTGGGGGTAGGAGAAGCACCAGGGGCTATTCCTTCTGCCCCAGTCTGGCTGCATGCAGGCTGGGCTCAGTTGGGGATGGTGACAAAAGCAGTATGGATGTGCAGGGGGAATCCCCTGCCCTGCAGCTGCTTTCAGGAAATGGGGCAGGGAGGAGGGAACTACTCTTCTGTCATGCTGTGGCTGCTATCTCCATCCCCAGATGAAGGGAGGGGTTGAGGGGAGGGAAGGAGAGTGGGGATTTTCACCTGCTTTAGGGACTTGGAGGCTTTTAAAGGGGTCTTTCTGCATCAGGGGGGCAAAAAAGGCTGGCAGCTAGGGGTGCAACCACCCCTGTAGTGCAGGTTGCTGCTCCTGCACCCCTTTTTGAGAAATCCTGGATTCACTGTTGGCGTCTTCCTCTACTATTGTTCTAAGAATGAGCAACACTCAAATTTACTCTTTTGAACAAGGGCTTTTCCTCACCTTCCACTGACCCCTTCACTCTTCTGGGACAATGGAGCTCTCTTGTGAAAAAAATAAAGCTCTTCTGTGCAAGAAATAGCTTTCTCAGAAGACAGTCAAAGACTGTTGAATGAATTCCCTCAGAAATGACCACAAACCTCACCATCTTCTGCTCCAAGCACCAGGCCCTTCCTTTGACTTTGCCTTAAATATGAACATACAACAATGTCCATTTACATATTTATCTGTGTGTGTACATCTAATACAAAACACTCCACTAGACACATTTCTGTCTCTGGTGACAGGAGGAGAGAACAAATATGTGACTAACTAAGAAATGGTGGTGATAAGCATTATATAGAAACAGAATAAAATAAAGGATATGATTTAATGATCAGTGAGTTACATGTGTGAATTCAAATGGCAACACATCCCTAAGGAAATCCTAAAAATTAAACACAGCTATCACCTACACTTAAATTCAATCATTTTCCAAACCCAAGAACATTTTTAATTGTTTTATATGTATAAGAAAAACGATGCTCACTGTCTTTGAAGTCCACTTGTTTAGATTAAAGAAAGTAACCTACACTGTGGAAGTTAACAAACATACAGCAGCCTGTTGCAGCAGTACATAGTGAAAGGGCCAGAGTGGCATCTTTGTGGCCTCTGGAAGAATCTCCACATCAATATTATGCCACAGGATTCAGGCTTACATGAGCAGTCAGAGGGAGAAGCCAAAGATGTTACACTCCAAGTTCCACAGGAACAGATTTTCCGCTGGTGAATGCCTTGGAAATCCTCTTATTTACACTAGTTGTACACTGGTATAGTTCTGTATGCTTCAGTGTTGGAGGAGAATTAGGTTCCAAAAATCCCAGGCATAAGCTTGGGATTTACAGACTGAGTGACACAAAAACTATGCCGCAGCCCAGACTGCTGTCAACAGCGATGCCAGGCAGTAAAACATATTGGATAGATCATATTCTTCCATAGATATTTCTGCAGGAGCTAGCATTAGGCCCAATACCACATGGGTAAAAAGTAAAAGCAGAAATTAGGAACAACATTATTTCTCTCTAGCCTTCCTCGGTAATTCATTATTTTAAATCCATACTGATTGGCATTTTACTAATGCAGAAAAATCTATGCCACTTTTCTGGAAAGGCAAGCATTAAAAAATGCTGTTAGTTAAGTTTTCTGGATCTAAAACAAAACATTTGTTTCTCTTTTTTTTTGCAGTGCCTTATGGTTTGCACTATATTTTGATGTATTCTCATAATAGTGTGTGGAATTTTGTAGGTGAAGCCCTGCTTGCACTGAAATCCATGGCAGAACTCACATTGATTTAAATGGGATCAGGATTTCATTCTCAAGTTTCACTACGTACCATTACATGAACAGAAATGGCTTGATTCTGCTCTCTCTCTCATTTTACACTTGTGTCAATCTTTTGATTTCACGTTGGTGAAATCATTTGATTTCAGGGCAACTGCTCCAGGCTTAAATGGCTGCAGTAGGAATGTTCTCATATTAGACCCAATTCCTTTTTCACTTACACTAAGTAAGTTAGGAGTAATTGCTCTGAATTTAGCAGAGTTATGTTGGTGTTAAACCAGCACGAGTAAGATCCAAATGTGGCTCATATTGTTTTACTTTTTAAAAACTGGAAGGGATCTGTGACTGAAGAGAATGTAGAACCGCCTTTTATACATGCAGATTTTCTGAGGGCAGGGGAGGCAATTTAGCTACTTAATCAGAGTTTTACTATTTTAAATGTAAACTCGTAGTATTTAAACAGTATTTATATAGCACCCAGAAGCATGCAAAATAATTCATATAACATGCTGGATAGATTTAATTTTTAATATTATCAACACATTTTACTTATGATTCTCATGTGAATTGCACCTAATTCATGATTATTGTCTCAGATGCCAGGACAACATTTTGTCCCTGTAGGAGTTATCCTTCTGAGGAAACTAAACAAAATATCTAGATAACAAATATTGGCTCAAATCCTGCTAAACTGACTCGGGAGCATTTCCACTAAAGTCAACATTTCAGCTCATGTAAGAAAAGGATAAAACTAGTGGAGAGTAGATTTAGGTTAGACATCAGGAATAATTTTTTTACAGTAAGGGTGGCCAGAATCTGGAATGGGCTTTCAAGAGAGGTGGTACTATTACCTAACTTGGAGGTCTTCAAGAGGAGGCTTGATAGTCACCTGGCTGGGGTCATCTGACCTCGGTCCTCTTTCCTGCCAGGGGCAGGGGGTTGAACACAATGATCCATTGTGGTCCCTTCTGACTCTACAATCTATGAATCTATGAATCTATGAGTAAGCACTCATATAATATAAAGGTTCAACCCACAAGTAACATCCAATCATACAATTTGCTGATTCAGGTATTTGCTGTTCCATGAGGTAAGCTAATTTGACTTTTAGAGAAATATTGAAAACCTCAGTAAGATTCCCTATGTTTTTGTATTCTAGGTATCCCACACAACCCTGCCGTTTTGGAAAACTTTTATTGCTGTTGCCAGCTTTACGTTCAATAAGCCCATCTACAATAGAAGAAGTGTTTTTCAAAAAGACCATAGGGAATGTGCCAATTACAAGACTGCTTTCAGATATGTACAAATCCAGTGACATATAAATTACCTTAAGAATAAACAATCAGGATGGACAGTTTGAGAAGAACTTTTATTCATGGAGAATAAGCCTCAACTAACACACTCTACAGGAACCATAAGCCTGGGAATGGTTAGCCTTTAAACTCATTGACAAAGGAAAAGTATCCCAGTAGATATGATTCTTCTGCCTTGAACAGAGTGCTTTAGATCATGGAGAGAATGCTTTTCCACACAGATGGACTGCAATGGATGGAATTTGGCTGCTTCTCCTGTTACTACAGGGTGGTAGCAATTCATTTGTCAGTCACAGTTAACAAAGACTATGCTATTCTCTCCTTTAGCCGGCAGATTAAGATAAAATGTGAAAGAAGGTACTTTATATTTCTTTCAATATTTGGAATTGGGTAACCAAACTTTGCTCCTATTTGTTATGCGACATGAGGTGGCCTTCAGAACTGTTTTAAGAGTAGCTTATGTTGGTGAACATGTTCTTAATATTATAGGAAACATTTAAAATCAGGTTACCAAAACATTGCTTCTGTTGTAATACATCATAAAGTGGCCTTCAGAACTGATTTTAAAGTAGCTTATGTTGGCAGTTATGTTTGGGAACCAATAGGCCAGGCCTTCCTGTAAAATGAACTGGTGAACGTTGATGAGAATCTCACCAGAATTTTGGTTTGGTTAACACCTAAAAGACAAAAGAGCTTTACACACACACGCACGCAAGCACACACGCACATCCATCCCTAAAAACAAAATAAAAGATAAGTCTGATAAGGAAGACTAAAACAGCAAAACCAAATAAAATGGAGACGATTGATTTAAGCATGCAGATCGCTGTCCCATCGACATAGTGCTGAAACCAAAGGCAATGGTGGCCAAACTATTTGTCAGTGAGATGTGCAGAAAGGTGAAATAACTCACAAAAATAATGGGAAAAAGCTTACTTTAGAAGAAATAAAGATGGTTGATTGGTACAATGCTAACGGTCTTTGAGACTCTCCAATGCCTTTTTTTTAGAAAACTCCAGGTTCTAACAAAAGCCTTGATCATCTACACACGTTATAAGCTGCTTATTTGATATGAGACAATACATATGAAAAAGTAGGAAAAACCATTTAAAAGATAGCTGCTGTACTTTACAAATTTTGATTTGTTGTTAGAAACTAGCACTGAGAAAAATCAGCACTTGGACTATCATAGAATGAGTAAAACTTTTCTTGTACAAAGTGGATTAACTGATTTGTGAAGTTAAAAAGTTGTACTCATTGTATTTACAAAGAATAAAAATATATTGGATTTAAATTAGCCTTTCTTTGTTTTTTTTAACTTGTTTCACTCCACCCCTGTTTTAATTTCCTCTAGGTAGCATATACTCTTCTAAGCAGAGAGCAGGCATATTCTTCAAATAGATGTCTACCTGCCACAGGCCTTTTTACATCTTCCTCTGAAGCATCTGGTACAACTCCTTCTGGAAACAAAATAAAAGGCTAGGTGGGTCACAGATCTAGTCTAGCATGGCAGTTCCTATGCTGTGCACATTGCTGATAGTTAAACAACTATGCAGCTAACAAGAGGCTCTTGAGGCAAAAATCAATTAAGACAGTTTTACTTAGGTGTGCAATTATGCATTCAATCCAGAGAAAGGGAATCAGCTCCCAGATGGAGAGAAAAAGTTAGAAGGTCAACAAAAAGCAGGGAAGAAAGTGAAGGACAAGGATTGTTGAGTGGTGACTGAAGAACATACAGTGAAAGTACTATATGGAGGTACCAGCATGCAACAGTATGTTGCTATTTCTAAATGTCAAGAAATAAAGACCACAAATGAAATCTTGGCTCCACTGAATTCAGTGGTAAAACTGACTTTAGTGAAGCCAAGATTTCACCCCATATGTTTTCCAGTTGTTCAGATCTGTGAAGACTTTTGCATGTCACACATTCCAAAGTGGCCAAATAAAGCAAACAGGGCTGTTCTTCGAAGTATAGATGCTGCGGCTTTCAGCATCTGAGGAATTGCCGTCTTGTATGAGTGGCTATGGACTGAGTGGAACCATCCTTCTGAAAGTGAGGCAAATCCTGGAATTATGTTCACCCTAAACCCTCTGTCTATGCAGTATTCCCACAACACATGTAAGGATTTGTGTTTTCTGCTCTCTGTGCACCTGGGAGGAGCAGAGGGAACATGACATGGCAGAGAGCGGCAATTTATTTCAAGTGCTAAGACTGGACTGCATGAAGCTCTGGCTAGTATGCATGTATCTAATTTAGCTGCCTGTGAAATCACCTTGTTTTAAGATTCAAGTATGCAGCTTTTCATCTTTTTAATGCCAATTTACATAGACAGCTGTGTTAAATACAAGGAACCAAAAATCAGCATAATTATAGCAAACAGCAGGAACAACAATATAATTCTGCAACCGCATTCGTTAAACCTTGTTGTATGTACCTTAAGATGGTCAGACTCTTGGATCTAGGGGTGTACAACTAACTAAATTTGGCTGAAAAATAAATTTGCTGAAAAATATATTTAAAAATCCATTTCTGTACAAACAATTCATCATTTTTAGGCATGCTTTAAAAAAAGCAAAGTGTTAGATTCACAAGAGGACCTAGGTACCATTCATAAAACCAGTGAAGAGGACAACATGATGGTGGAGTCCCTTTTACCCTATAGTAGCTCTAACACTATGGTGCTAAGAACCTTGCTCTTGTGTATCTTAACCACTAGCATATACAGCAACAAGGAATAGGAAGGTGGGTTCAAAATCCCTCTGTTGGATTCAGAGCAGGAATCTGAAGTAAGTTCATGTTTCAGGAGAACTCCCTACCACTAGCACTGGCTATTCTGGAGTATGTGTCTCAGGCTCCACTCCTGAAGCTGTTCTGCTGTGCATGCATGGTTAACATATTGACTGAGAGAGAGAATGCCACTATAACCTGGTGGTTCAGGCACTCCCTTGAGATATGAGTAGACCTCAGTTCAAATCTCTGCTAAGAATCAAGCACTGAGTGGATTTCAACCTTTGCCTCCCACCCTGCAAGCAAGTGTTAAAGACCACTCCTCTTGTCCTCACTGGTTCTGAATGGTGCTTGAAGTCCCACGTGAGTCTTCCAAAACTAAGCAATTCAAACTTTTGGGCAATATGGAAACAAACTGTTTCTATGTTTAAAGCTTTCTTCTTTATCCCACCAAAACTACTAGCTATATTGTTCTCCAATTTACTAAGAGAATTGATTAACCTGAAACTGCCTTTCAGCAAATACATTATTCACAAAAGCAAACTGTCCAATGATCATTTTTACATCTATTTTGCCATTGCTAGAAAAGGCATTCAAGGGACATACTGGCAGTCTCGCTGCCAAATTAACAGGTGTTTGTCCATAACTGCATGAAACTGGGTGCATTGCTTTGGGAATGTCATACTGTGACTGAGAAGAACATAGCTTGTAGGCAGAGAGGACCATGGGTGACTGGTGCCACCTTAGTCGGGCGGAGGGGGAGGCACATGGCCTCCAGCAATCAGTCAGCGACCGGCCAGTCGCGCCGAGCGGGAAGTGGCCACAGCACTCCCGGAAGTGGCCACAGCGTCTTCACTCCCTGGCTGGCACTTGCGGGGGGGCACCAGTGCTCCCACCTGCGCCCCCTGCCCGTCACCTGAGCAGGCAGCGTGGCCTGTCAGGGGCAGCACCCATGCACCCCCTGTGCATTGCCACTGAAGAGGACAGAAGTTTCAGGGCCCAGTACAAGTCACTTCATATAAAAAAAGAGTAGCAAGTGCCACTGATGATGCATTTGGAGTCATCATCCCCATAGCAGTAGGCCTAGCCCCAGCATGAGGTGCAACCTGGATACCCCAGGCACTAGAATTGAGAACCAGCTATATAAAGACAGAACTCCCCTCCCACAGAAGATCATGTGTGTTAGGAGAAAGAGAGATAAGCTTAGTATCATTTCAGCAAGGTGGATGAGACTCTCTATTGGCAAAATTTCACTGGAAGGCCCTTCCCTAAATTATGGCTTTAGCAGGGCTCAAATAGGAATAGGTGTAGTAAAAACCAAAGTATGAGGAGCTGGCATGGTAAGTAAACCCTCACACTTAGGAAGCAGTCACTTCCTCCAAGTCAGTTCCTCAGTGCGCACATCAACACGTGTGAATACTCTTGGATGGGTTTACTTCAGAGTAATTTACTGTGGAGTAAACCCACCATGGGCAGGCATTTGGGAGCAGATTTGTTACTCTTGGCAACAATCAGCTCCTGCCCCCTGGTGGCCATCTTTAAAAGACAGCCCCTACTCCCTGCTTCCTAGCCAACTGCCTTCCTGGCCTGGAGCAGCCTGCAGAGCACAGCGCCAGCACATGGTGGCTTCACCAGAGCCTCTGCCCGCTGTGTCATGGCTGCTCCACCCTCAGGCCCCGGGAGCGATGTCCTCCGCCCTGGGCTCCTGCTCGTCACCCTGCTTGCTGTGCTGCCCCGCCATGGTGACCACCACCTGGGCCAAGTCAGTCTTGGCCCTGGTGGCCCTGCCGTGTGGCACAGCCACCTGGCCTGGCTCACTACAGTGTCCCAGGCCTCCTCCCATCATACGCCTGCTGCCTGGACCCCGTGCTGCTGCTCAGACCCTGGCAGGGATGCTGACAACTCACACCTGGACACCACCATGGGGGCCATCCACATGCTCTTTGGCTTCCTACCCCACCACCTGTGGGCCTACCCAGCCAGCCAGGACTGGTGGCTGCACATCATCCAGACCACCTGGGGCAAAGAGCAGTGGCTGGACCCATTCCAGATGACCCAGGCCACCTTCCAGGAGCTCCTCAATCAGCAGACCACCGCCGTGTAGTGGCTTCTCCCCATGGAGACCTGGCAGCCCATCACTCTGCTCAAGCTGGCCACGCCTGCCAACCTGAGCTGTCAGCCAACTCTTCAGCATGGGCAAGATGACTGTCAGGAAGGCTGTCCTGGAGGTGTATGGTGCCCTCCAGGATGTGCTGAGACACCATGCCCTGGGTGCACACCCCCTGGAGGTGGTGGCAGGGTCTGTCCTCTGGGCTTCCCCCAGTGCATCAGGGCCCTGGATGAGACTGACATCCATGTCACCTGCCCATCTGGCAGTGACTGCCCCTACTACATTGACTACTGCGGTGCCTCCACCAATGTAAGAGGCAGCTCGGTGGGTAGTGCCCATGATGCTTGTGTCTTCTGCAACCCTGCCAGCCCTGGTGGAGAGCAGGTGCTTTGTGCCCGGGGTGCTGGACTTCCAGCTGGGCAAGGTGGCAGTCCCACCTCTCCTCATCAGGACTCCACCTACCCGCTCCTCCCCTGGCCAATGCACCCCTACACCGCCAGCTGGACCCCCACCAGGCACACTTTAACTGGTGCCTGGACAGGACCTGTGCCCTGGTGGAGTGTGCCTTCAGCTGCCTCAAGACATGCTGGTGCACTCTCACCACCCACCTCAAAGTTGCTGAGACTGACATCGCCCAAGTCACCATTGCAACCAGAGAACTGCATAACATTTCTTAGGCCCGAAGGGAACTCTTCTGTGAGGCCTGGGTGGAGAAGACGCAGCAAGTGGAGGATGCCTGACACTAGGAGTACCAGCTGTGGTGGCAGCTATAGTGGCAGTCCCCACAGCAGGGCAGCACAGTGAGCAGGGTGGTGAGTAGGAGCCCAGGGCAGAGGACGTCGCTCCCAGGGCCTGGGGGTGGAGCAGCCATGGCACAGCGAGCAGAGGCTATAGCTGCACTGAGCCAGGAAGGCAGGTGGCCAGGGAGTAGAGCTAGCTTTTAAAGATGGCCCCCCAATCAGGGCCACAAGAGAGTTGCTCACCCATCAGTGGAGGCCAACCACCTCCTCTTGCACTCCCTATTGTAGCCCACCTGGCCCCAAGCCCCAGGCTCACTGCACACCACCAGCACCACACTCACTGCAGAGTTCTCAGAAAAGCAGTTTATTCCCCTCCACAAATACAGACCTCCCCCTTCCACCTCCCTCCCCAACAACAGAGCCCTTACCCACTCCACACCAGACCCCTGTTGCCCCACTCCACACAGAGCCCCTCCACCACCAATAAAGCATCCTCAGCTCCATACAGACTATGTACAGTGTGCGATGTATGCACCCGCCTAGGATGGGGGGCAGTGGGGTGGGGGCACCTAGGGGGTGGAACCCAGGGACAGGTGTCCAGCACTCCAGCCTCTGGTTGCACCCCCATGGGTGTGCATACTGCAGCAAGCCCAGGAGGCAGAGGGCTTGCCTGTGGGTGATGGCAGGCACTGCCAGTGGAGCCAGCTGTCCCTCCAGCAGGCAGGGCCAGCACAGCCCACTCGCAGTGCTGGCCCCACTGCTGGCAGCTCCTGCTCCAGGGCCCTTGGAGCCAGGATGAGTGGTGGAGCTGAGCTCAGGGGGAGAATGGGTGGTGGGGGCCCCAGGGTAGAGGTAGCTGACTAGTGGAGGTGCTGCTACACCTCAGCTCAGGCCCATGGGGATGGGGACTGCTGCTGGTTGGCAGGCAGCTGCCAGCAGGCAGGCAGGCAGGCAAGGTAGAGCTGGGGCTAGGGCAGCAGGTGGCATGAAGGCAACTGCCAGGCTAGGATGGTGTCTATCACCTGGCAGTCCTCCTCTGTAGCCTCCACTCAGGGGTTGAGGGGTTCCCAGTTGGGATCTGGTATTCCTGCCCTCCCCACAAGGGGTCTCTCCAGGGAGGTATCCTAGGGCTAGCTGTCCTCCCCCCACTGGCTCTGTGCCCCAAGTGTGCCCCTGCTGAGTGTCCCAGGCACACTACAAGGAGACATTTGTGTGGACCAGGGGGTACCTGATCCACTGTGCCCTGTTGATCACCATGGTGCTCCAGGTACAGCTGCAAACCTGGCACAGGACCCAGAGCTTTGATGGGGTGGAGGCCAAGGCCACCCTGCCCCACAACCTCACCACTACCTGGAGGACTACCTGTGGCTGTGCTCCATGCCCCTACCCCCCCACAGCCAAGGACATCATCATCACTGGCATCAACATTTTCCTCCACATGTGGGAGGGCCATAGCCAGACCTGCTGGGGCACAGGCTGCTCAATAAGCTTTTGTGCCATCTCCCACCTCCCTGTGTGCTGTCAGGGGCAACCCAGGACCAGGGGAAGGCAGCCAGGCCAGGCAGGGGCTGGAGCAGGAACGGCCTCTCCCACCCAGTAAAGGGCTTACTAGGTAGGTGTGCTTGGCAGCTCAAGTCAGTCCTTGCTGGCAGCGAGGATGTACAGCTCCTGGCTGTGTTCCGGGGCACAGGGCAGTAGCACCTGGCTGCCCAGGCAGAGGCCCCCCTCTGGGGAGGAGCTGGAGCTGCTGAGGGCTAGCAGTACCATAGGTGCAACTCTGTCCAGGAGACCAGGTTGGCTGTGCAGCTGACAGGGCATCTGCTAGCCTGGGCTCCTGGGCAAGGCCAGGGCCTAGGAGCATGTCAGGATATCACTAGGAAGTGGCCACCGGGAGGCCATGTCCCCATAGGTGCTAGGCTATAGGGGAGTAGGGGAGGCTATCTATACTTAAGTACATGGCATGGCTCAGGCCAGGGTCCTGGAGCATGAGGATGTCATCCAGTTACTACATAAAAGGCTATGGACTTGCAGGCAGCCCCCAACCAGCAGTTGTGGTCAGTGATGGTGACCCACTGTGCCCACAAGGCATTGACCTTTATATGGCACTGGGTGCTTACATGTCAGTCCTGCACTCCAGTATGCAGCTTAATAGGCCCTCATGGATATGCATGTTCAAGCATCTGCTCTATGCAAACTGGCCGAGAACCTTGGCCTCCTCCTAGGATCAGTTGTAGTCCTGGGAGATGGCATTTTCTTGGGTCTGAAGAGGTTGAGAACCAGCCTAGAAATACAGCCTTCATTCTATTCCAGTGCAGCTAGCAGGGGTTGGCAAATTTTTTTTTTTAAACTATCACAGGCCACAGATCCCTACTCTTGCTGTGGATACCTGGCCCCTTATGTGGTAGTAAGGCACTGTCATGTCTGCCCTTACAAAGCTGAAGTGTGCCACAAATCTGTGTTGCACCATCAATTCCCATCTTGCTGCCCTAGGCAGGGTTAGATCTTCCTGACCCCAATCTAGATCATTACTAGAACCACATGGCTGTTCTTCATCCCATCCAAGAAAAAGTTATTTACTGAACTTGCATATAATGAAAACACTGCAGTAATCTTCATTACTACAACATAGTCCTAAGAATTACATTTGACTAGCATTAAGCCAGGGAAGACCAAACATCCAAGCTCTCCATAAGGAAAAGATAGTCATGATGGTCTCCCCAGCTTTAAAGCCTATGCTTATTCCATTGTTAGCCTTTTGGACAGCAAGTGCCACCCAGAACAAGTGACACATTGCCAGTGGGCTTTCCTGAAAGCAAGGAAAACAAGCCACTAGCACAAAAAACCCACACACACACACACACAAAAGACCACCACCACACCACCCCCCTCACCCTACTAGGGGTGATAAAAAAAGTCTAGATGTCAAAGTACTGCAGGTTTACACCTTTCATATTTACAAAAAGAAAAAAAAAAAAAAAAAAAAAGTGAACTGGTCTGCAGTTCAGTAAGTGCCATAAAAGTTCTGATACAAGTTTCAAAATTCAAGTTTAAAATTTGTCAAGGACAAGCCATCTCTTACATTTCTGCCATAACAAGCAAACAAGACTTACCAGCTCACTCCAATTGATTGGTAATCTCTCAAACAAAAGTTTAGATGAAAGCAAAAGGTCTTTCTTCAATAGGAAGCATAGTACGTAAAAGATTAAAAAAAAACCCAAACAAACAAACAAAAAACTGTTTGGTTGGAGTTAAGTGTATTGGAGGGGCTGGGGGGGGAAGCTGTATACCACAAAAAAAAAAAACACACACACACTGTAAAGCCATGTCACAGCTCCCTTTATCTCAGGAAAAAGACTGTTACCCGTTATGGGCTGGCAGTATACTCCCCTAGAGATGTGGGGATATTAGATGAATGTTTCAGTACTTTATGAAGATAATAAAATTAAGTGTCCAATGACAGTAAAAAAGTTCTGAAGTGCATTTTAATTTTTATTTCAAAATTTTAGACAAATGACTTAGTATATAAATCTGATTCTTCTTTACAGAATATAAAGATAATTCCCTCATTACTTCAGTATAAAGTGTTTTACAAGCTTGAAGACACAGTTGCATAAGTGTTTCTTACATGGGGGTATCCAAAACAGACTGCCTCATTTCTACACAAGTTACACAGACTACATCAGTTAAAGAAACAATCTAGTGAATAAGAGCCGACTAAAGTGAGTGTGATACTAGAACAGTGCAAATTCAAAATAAGGCCAAGTCAGTAAACTGTTAGGTCATTGCAGGTAAGAGTGGAGAGACTTGTGAAAGTGGATCGTCATAATATTTTAAAAGTCTAGTCATAGGGATTGAGGGATTTAACTACAAATGGGCAAGCTCTTTAATACCATAAAATAAATGCAAAGACCAAGCAGTGTACTGATGAGGTTAGTGGAGGCTTACTGTGCCAGTTTATCTGCAGCATGCTAAGACAAACTATAACCTCTTAAAACCAAGTGTAAGAACCACTAAACATTTTGGAGTTGGAGTTGTTTTCAGCATTCAGGTGTGTCTTATTTTGGATGGTGTGTAGTTTTTGTCTATTACTTCATCTTGTAGAAACATGTGAAGACAGCGCTCATTCTGAGCCAAAGGATGGCCAGCAACTCTAGGAGAGAAAGAAAGACTAGTTAGTATTGCAAGCCAAAAAAAAAAAAAAAAAAAAAAAAAAAAAAAGAGTGTTCTGCTAAAAAAACAAGTGCTCAGGTTTTAGGAAGTCAGAGTCTGAGAGCTCTGAAAAAGCTACCTCACATCCACAAACCAAACATAAGAAGTACTAGGCTGGACGCCAACCTTTTCTTCACTACAGAAAGTAGAAGCCATCACTACAAAGTTTCTTTAAGTATTTCAGCTTGTGGATGCCCTCATGGACCTAGGTATACACCTAGTGGTATGTTTATAGAGAGCACTCCAGTAGCATCAGGAGACAGTCTATTGTCCATGTTATGGAAGTACCATGCCACACCTATGTTCAAGCAAGCATTGTGTGTCAGTTCATTAGAGAAAAAAAAAAGCTACAGCCATATTTAAGACATGAAAGTAATCTCCAACTATGACCTGGTAATATAGTGCTTTAAAGTGGTAGCTTTGTGTCCAAAGACAAGTCAATTTGTTCTTGTCCCTCAAACTTAACCCCAAAAATGCAGCTGCCTTGATCAGTCCAAGGAAAAAAAAAAAAAAGTGGGGAAGAAGGAAAGGAGGCAGGCAAGTGCCATCTTGTATCCACCCAAGATCCAAAAGGTGTGCGAAAAGGGTAATCTTGCCTCTCCAGGTCCAACTACTTGCTTTAAAACACACTGTATTCTGAAGTGTTACTAAATGTGGCAAATACCTCTTCTAGCAAGAGCAGCAGCACTAGTTGCATTGCAAAAGCTACACTAGAAAGTCTGCTCTGTACATTACACTAAAGTCACCAAGACAAATTAGCCTTGAAGCAAAGACTCTTATGTCACAGACTGCCAATAAGCCTATCAGGGCAACTGCACTAGGGGAAACAAAACAAAACAAAAAAAACCCCAACCCAGCCAAAGTGATATAGTGCTACTTAAAAGCTCAACCTGAGCTTGTCTCCACAGGTTACCAAGGAAATCACACACAAAAAAACCAAGTCACAAGCCTCCAGAAACTGAAAGCTTTGGCAGCAGCTCCCCTAGAAGCTACTCCCTGCTGGCTTCAAGTGTCCTAGCAACTTTTACATTAGTTGACCTAGTGGAGAATTAGTGTTAAAAACTGGTCCTAGCTGAACTTCAGCCTTAGTTTTAAAATGGAAGCATAGTATGACAAATGCTTGATTTAGACAGGTGAGATCTTGGTTCCTTACCATGTTTATTTCCAAACAGCAGCATGCTCCATTGTTAGAAAAAGCTCTTTTCATTAGCTTAGCTCAAGTCATTAAGGTAGATTATGCTGAAACTCTATTGATTCATAAATTAAAAAACAAAAAAAAACACAACACAAAAACAAAAAGCAAACCCAGGAGTTTTGCCAAAACAAAAAAACACACACACACAAAACAAAACAAAACAAAAACAAACAAACAAAAAAAAAAAAACAGTAATTGATGCCTCTTGAAATACAGCTGGACCAGCAGCAATAACTACATTAAAAGCTAGGTCTTGCAGGTAGAAGAAACAAATGAAGTCAACATTTCCACAAGATCAATGCATTGTTAGCTATTCAAAATAGATTCAGTTTTTCCCAGCAAGTTTATGGACAGCAATAAGTCTGTCTAGGGGCAAACAGCCAATTACAAGGAACCCAAAGACTTTGCTGTTGTAAGATGCTTTTTGCTTTCACTGTATGCTGTTCAAAATAACTTGCCAGTAAAATAGTTGCTTCCCCTTCCATCATGTCTTCCTCCAAGAGATGCATGTTAAGAGTTCTGCTCAGTGCAGTATGCACTTCTAAAAGGAGGCTTGCCACGAGCTCTACTCTTCAACTTGAAGACATTTGGAGTGCTTTACCATGAAATCCTCTTACAGGCATAAGAGGAGCCATCTACTTAAGGGCATTCTCTCTAGGAAGAAGGTTGTATGCGTCACTGATTGAGTGAAATTGCTTGGTAAAGCACTAGTGGTTATTTAGCAATAATGATTAGGGGGAAAGAGGGTTACCAGCCTCCAAACCCCAGTTTGCAGTTTTTGAAAAGAGATACCAATAAAAGCATCATTAACATACTGATCTGGGGAAGGTGGCAGACTTCTGAACAGGTTAGGTAGTCCAGATTTATGAAGCACATGGGTAATGAAGATGTCTGGGCACACCAAGCATGAATGAAAAGTAGGTTTAGTATTGGTTTAAGAGGGTATTCAGAGAACGGTTTGTAAGCGATTCTAGAGGAACTAGGGTCTGTTATTAGAGACAAATGAAGCACTCGAGTGAGTTGGAACAGATCAAGTTTATACTTAAGTAGATCTGCTAGCCCCAGTCTCAAGTTACTCTTCAAAATATGCATTTAACTACCCCCCGACCCTCAAAATAAATTATTTACCCCCCCCCCCCCCCCCCCACACACACACACACACACACACACACACACACAGAGTTCAAGTACTGAATACCTGGAGGCCAACAAATGTCTTGAACTGAGATTTTTTTTTAAAAGACAAACACTATCCATCAGTGCACACATGCCCCTACTGAACTAAGCCACATTTTAAGCTACTGAGGTGTTGTTTTTTTTAAGCTACACAACCTCCAACTTGTGGACATGCCCATACCTACACAAACCTTTCCCCAGTCAAACCCAACTGTTGGGTACTCCGATGGATTTATAGTGAGAACAAATACCCACATACATTGAGACATGTTTACAAATGCTGCAGTTTACTTATTCATCTTCTAGTAAGATTAATTCTATTTATTATTTCTCAGAACCTCAAATTTTAAAGTCAAGGTTGAGAAATGCATCTTCACAGATCTATGCAGCATTTCTTTTCACTTTCCAATAATCTGTGGATGCAACTGGTATTAAGCCTTCTATCACTGCAGGTCTAAACTCAAGTAATAAGATGCTAGCTTTGCTTCCTTGAGAGAGAGTTCTTGTGTTACCCCAAGTTGGACTGTGTAGAAGTAAAAGAATTACCTGGGTAGTTTTTTACTTGGCATGTAGCTAGAACACTATTTGAGTGTATGAAGACAGGAGTATGAAACTGGAGATAGGCCCACTGAAACTCTGGGTTAGGGTAGGAAAAAAAGAGCAAGGAAGGTGATGTCATGGTGGGTGTGTCTGCTACTGACCACAAGACCAGGAGGATGAGGTACATGAGGCTTTCTTCAGACAAATAAAATGGTGCAAATCTTTAAGAAGGAGGATGTGGGGAACTACAGACTGGCCAGCCTCACCTCAGCCCCTGGGGGAATGGGAGTGGGAAGAAACAAAAAGAAACCCCAGATAGTGGAACAGGTCCTCAAGGACTATTTCTAAGCACTTGAAGAAGGTGATCAGGAACAGTCGCCCCTGGTGAATCCATGTTAAGTCAAGCCTAACCAACTTCATCATAGAAGGCAGTTAGATGACTGGCTTTGTGGCGAGAGAGAGAGAGAGAGAGAGAGAGAGAGAGAACCTTAGCTAGAATGATCTAGTTGGAGTTGGTCCTGCTTTGAGGTTGGACCAGATGACTTTGAGGTCCCTTTCAACCCTGATTTTCTATTGGAGAGAAACGTTTATACTTTTTCAGAAATTTATTTTATTGTAAAATATCCTATGCATAAGCCAACAACACCTTCCTTACATCTGCAAGGAAGCTAAATAGCTACAAATCCATTGTAAACTTTATTTTTCATCTGATGGATCATACCTTCTTCAGTTTGACAAGCAAAAACTATTTTTGAATGCTGTAATTGGAGCAGTAAGTTGCATAAATAAAGCCTTGGAGTTTAACACTGGAAATTTAATATTAACACCTGAATAACTGAGGTGAGCATGGTTTTGGGTTCTTGCTTCAGCCAGAAAGCTGTTTATGATTGTTTTGTATATAGCACTGCCACTGAAGTTTGAGTTTTTAGAAACTCCACTTTTTTTAGCATTATAAATCAAAAAAAGTTCACAACTCACTTGTTTATGAATTGCTCAAGACCTTGTTTTCTTTCTTCTATAAAAGAATCATCAAAAATGCCATCATCTCCTCTAAAAGGAAGCTGACGAAGAAGCGCTTTTCCAGGTAAAGGTGGTACCACAACCTGAAATTAACAAAAAAAAAAGTCCATTTATCTCCATAAATCCTGACCAGCAAGCACATAAGACGGTCTCTAGCAGTGACTCCGTAGTGTAGTCCATTCATCAGAATAAGCTAGTGTTGCCCACACAGAAGCAAGGTCACACACAAATCTCATTCTGAGTTTTAAGTACAGTTAGACTTTTCAGCCACTTCAGGGTGCTAAGAACACTCAAAGTTTTGTTTTTTTAATTGAAATAAACAATGGTCCAGTGTTGCAATTTGTCTTTTTAACACCTGGCTGACCACAGAGAAGCCATGCCACCACTAGTAAAAATATGCAATGGTCGTATACAAGGTAATTTTGTAATTGAGCACTAGGTAGCTTTACATTTTTTAGCATTACTCACTTTGCTTTCTCTTTCTAGCTCATTTCTCAGCCATTCAAAGTCACTGTACCTCCTTCTGACAGTAGATTCTTTTAATTTGAAGATGGGAAGATTAGTCTGAAAAAGAAAGCACATCACTATTATCAACCACCACTACAGGAAGAATGACAGAAGTGGAAACTGCTTCTTACAAAAGTCTGAGTCAGAATGCACAAGACCCTTTCCTCTAGTCAAGGAGAACACTGCAGAATTCCAGAGATGTAATTTTGCCTTAAGCCCAGTGTTGGTCTGGCACAAGATAGTGGTCCTTACCCCTCAAGGACTACAGAGTTCCCTCTACAGTCCCTGGTGACCTAAGTCACTGCTGTGGAATGGGGGAGAAGAAAGAAGGAATCCTGAGCAACTGGAGAGCTGGAGGATAGAAGATACATGGGAAGGAGAATGCTCCCCATAGAAAGTAGGCAAAGTCCATGTATAGTGATAGGGAGGAAGGAGACTTGGTCCATGCACACAAGCTAGAAAAGATATCGGTAGGGGTTTTTTTGTTTTGTTTTAATACAGGTAACAAGTCCAACCTTGATGCAGCAATAGGAATAGGGAATCCATTTCATGGCCAAGGATGGGGGAAGAGGAGTTGCCCAGACTTTAACAACATCCTCAAATATGGGTAAAGGTATTCTAGGAGACACCAGGAACCTCGGAGGGAAATAGGGACCCCTCTATCCCCAAACCCCTCACTAGCAAACAGGTAGTGCAGCCACTGGCTGCTTGAACAGCTTTCACTTTTCACTATTTTAACTCATTGTGAAGTTAAAGATTTCATAGACTAAACCAGGGAAGTTTACCTGGCAGCCCACAGCTGCATGCAAGGAGTTGGAATATGGCCATCTGGGGCCTGCAATTTCTCTCCAACCCCTATTGCTCTGATAGCAACAGCAGCCATAGCCTCTAGGCTCCCCAACCTACCTCTACCCCCAGGTGGCAGTGAGGGGGCAAGAGGCACTGAGGGCAAGCCCAGGTTCATGTGTAGAAGACATCTTGTGCAGCAGTGGGCAGGAAGACAGAACCCCATTTGTATGCCTGCATGTTGCAGCAGGGGAATGGGGTAGGCAGTGCCTACATGGCTCTGTGGCTCCACCAGTAAGCCTTGTAGGGGCCACTTTCCCCAGGGCCACACAAGTTGGACAGCCCTGGATTTAAAGCTAAATGGGGGGGGGGGGGGGGGGGGGGTGGGGGGGGGGGGGGGGGGGCAGGGAAAAAGAGAAAGAAACTGACCACTGCATATTTGAGGGACATTCAGAGGATTGTTTGAAGTAGGCACTTAAGCCTAGTGGTTACTCAAGGTTTAATTTTAAGCAGAACGATAAGTTAAATGACCTAGAAGTGCCATGCTTCTTATGAAATAAACATAATGTATGCATAGATCCTAAATAAGTTTCTCTATAGAACTGTTCAGTTTAGACAAACTTAGTACCAAGTCCCAGAAATTCATAAGCAACTCTGCTTTGTTTTGTACCTTCCACAGGGGCTGTTGCAACACAATGTTTCAGGCATGCAATCTGATCTCTGAAGGTTTAAAAGCACTTGAAGTCTTTCCCAGGTAACTACAACAAGCAATAACTAAGAGCAAAATTGCACCTAACAAAACTCTTATTATGCTAAAAGTCAAGCTTATATTTAAAGGATGCTGGCTTTGTGCTCGAGAATAATCCCACCCCCCCACACACAAAACAGGGAATAAAGTTAAGCCCCCTAGAGCGTAGAATGAAGATTCCCAGAAACAGAGCACTGGATTATCTCTCTCTGATTTCACCTATTGGCTTTTTAACCAAGTTCAGCCTTCCGTATTAAGATATTAAAGTCTTTGTAAGTGTCTAAAGATAGGGAGGCCTTTACTATACAGAGCATTTTCTGCAGGTGAGAGTTTACATTAAGATTCTTCAAGTTACTTGACAAAAGGGATTAGCTGCTCTTTTATTCAATGTTAAGATCAAACCTGTGAAGAAGTTTTCCAGAAGTATGAAAATTCTTGGGTATGAAGTTAATCTCTGAACAATACATCAGGCTTACAGATACAATGCAGGAGAAGTGCCAGTTCAGCTCATCTTACCTTCCACATTCCCTTTTGAACTTTTGACATGCATGCGATTCTCCAACTCACAGAGTTAACTATTTCAGTACTTGCAATGCATTTCTTCTTTCCTGAGCCACACTTCCTCCAGTTTTGAGAATTAGTGAACTACTAGGTCCACTTTATAGCATTTGGGAAATCTCTATCCAATGCATCTGCACATTAAGTGACACGTCATGACGAGTCTCATAAGTATTGTATGAATCGGTCATGTATCTAGTAAGTTATTGATAGAGATAACCATGATTTATTTTATGTACCAAGGAGCTGAGAGGAACAAGTCAGGCTCCCATCTACTGTACCACAAATTGTTTCAGGAGTGAAATACTAGAAGGCAAGGGCTTAAAACAAATTTAAAACTCCCATTTCCCCTTAAAAGGGAGATCTTGCCAAGTCAGAAGTAGGTACAATTTGTGGTGCCAATACAAGCAAGCAGCCCTCCTAAACCTATGTATGCATTAGGCACTCTCCTTCCCACAAGCAGCAAAATTAGCTTTTCATTCTGTTACTCAGCAAGTCAGGTAAAGAGTCACATGAGGGAGTGATAACTGCTCCTGAAGGAACAGGGACTAATGGCTCCTGAAGTCCAGCTACATTCTTTCTGAACTATTCATTGAAGAGCTTTTGCAATCTGAACTTGTCATTAGTAGATAGTGAGCTAGACTCGTCATCTGTTGCCTCTAGAGCAATGACAACTTTCCATGATTAAAAGAACAGTAAGCATCATCAGCAGAGGGAGGAGACTACAGAAATAACATCTTTGACTCCGTTACCAATATCAGAATTACACCAAGGGGTTATTCCAAGAGACTGCCACTTTTCTTTTCATGTTACAAAGAGAAGCGAGGTGGATTATACACCTTGTCAAAATTATGCACCATCAGGGCATCTTGTGTATCCTACAGAAATCCGGCCACTGAAGCCAGTGCTTCATTTCCCACTAGGAAAAGACAACCAAAGGTAAGAAATAAGATTTATTCTGCAAGTCAATCCTGGAGTTACTAGCTCAAGATGCATGTTTTTGGCTTCTACAGGTGGTTTTGTAGCTAGATGACTAGTCTCTTCCCAGCAGTGTGGGCTATAGGGAAGAACTCCTTAGGCCAGAGCTTGACCCATGAACCCCCAACCCCATTGCTGGCAATAGATGGAGGCACCTTTAGACACCTGATTGTGTCCAACAGTCCATTTTAAGCTGGAATTAACATCTATTCTTATAGTCTAGTTGAAGAATCATTCTTCCCTTTCACAAAATTCTACCAATTAAAAAAGGCTCTAGACAACATCTCATTTACTGAGCTTAAAATACTGATATACATTAAGTCTTCCAAATTTAAAAAGGCACATGGCTGCTCAAATGGACATCAGACAACTAGGCCAGAGTTTCCCTGGCTTAAACTACGATCCAAAAGCACCAAGAACCTCAACTGTAACCATAACCAGATACTCTAGGAGCACAGGTAGCTGGTCCTGGAAATAGACATTTAGTTCTACTAAACTCAGCTGGAAGAGACATGTTACACTAAACAGTGTTTGGGACTAGTGGGTGGCCACTGCTGTTGTTCTTAGGATTTCTGGAAGCATACCCCCCCCCCCCAAAAGCCCTTCCAAAACAGGGGAGAAAAAAAAAAAGAAATCAGGGTTGGGGGCATTCAGGAATATTCAAGGAAGCATTATGTTGCACAGTAACTAGGCCACCTACACTGTAAGAGAGCCACAAGAGATTCAGATCTAAGCATAGAAAGAAGCTGTAGTTCCTGTTGAAACAGAGGCAATGCAGTCTTAGATTTGGCTCAGGGAGTTTATTAAAAAAAAAAAAAAAAGTTTGGTACAAATCCAGCTAAATTGCTAGTTTAGTCAATTTTGAGGCACCTCATGGTATTAGAAAAAAAAACCACCACCAAAAAACAACAAATGCACCACACACACCAGGTGGTCAGATGTCTGGATATCGGTGATGACCCATGATGTGCTCAAAAAGACAGTTGAGCGAGACTACCCATCAGAAGAGAGACTGAGGGGACTGACTGAATTCTCCCCACCAATACACATACACCCATCATGGGCTCAAGGACTGTTTAAGGCTCTTGAACATTTCTTACAACAGCAATTTAGCATATAAAATGTTGCCCAAGATGGTTTTACAACCTGTAAACTCTGCACCAATTCAGTTACTATGTATGGGGTCTTGTTTCAAGTGTTATGCAGTAATTTCTTAACCCCTTTACCACTGGCTACCAGATTATGTGTCTTTGATTATGTTAACATACACCAACTACATATCCACATGGCTAACATGCACAGGGTCCTACACCATTTCTCACCTCTACAAACGTGCATAAAATAATCATGATTGTTTTCTTTGAAATAGTTAAGAAAGAGGTACAGTTTTGCTACTAAAGCAGAACTCTGGAGAAGGGGAAAAATTCTTTGGACTTCTGGTTACTACTGAACTATACAGAATTACTGGAGGGTTTGTTTCCTCCAGTTTACTGTTGTGGGAACTTAAGTGACCTTTCTTCTAATCTACCGAACCCAGAGTCATGATGTACCTATGAACTAAACTTTAGAATTTGCTAGGTGCAAAACAAGTGGCTAAGAGCATAGCTCAGGAGCAGCCCTGACAAGCCAATACACACACTCAAGACAAAGCTAAGTAGCATCTGCAGAGCACAGGCATGTGCTTGCAGTAGAGTAGCCTCAGTTTTGAGAGGTAGTATACATTAGTGTAGGACAAGCCTCAGATCAGTGCTGCTATAAAACTTGGCAGATGTGATACAGACATATCATTGTCTTATCTTTAAAGTTTCCTCCCTCTTGGGTCACCCTGCAACCAGGCTGTAAGTACACTTCCCTTACCTACTCTTCCCCATTCAAGAGTACAGGCATAGGAACACCCCATAACAGAACCCTACTGTTCCAGAATTTAGAGTGTAGTTAGGGCCTGCTACTGTGTTAGCAAAAGCCAAGAATAGCCTAGTCACCTTAA